CATCAATATAATACATAAATAATACGGTCAATAACACTGTCATAACTTTTTATGGGGACAGATGGTTACTAGGTTAATTGTGGTGATCATGTCATAGCATGTGGAAATGTCAAATCACTATGTAGTACACCTCAAACTAACATAATTTTATACATCAACTGTATTACTTCTTAGAAATGGAATAATTATGAAGTAGTATCTCAGCAAAATGATTTGACTTTATGCCACAGTATTTAACAGCCTAAAATTGAAAGTAAATACATTTTTAATGGGAGTTGATACATCACTACAAACTACTGCAGCTTCAGGTCAGTGGGGGTCTTTGGTAGAATTCAAGGAGAGTTTATGATGGAGAGAAAATTAACAGGATCAGGCAAAGTCTTGAGATACACAAAAAAAGATTGAGGCTGAAGTAGTATCACTTTGAGAACGTGATGCCTTCTAATTGCATCCAGAGCTAATTATAAACCAGACTATTGCATAGGCTATCATTAAGATTTTTATCTGAGAAAGAGTAGCAGAATAGGAGGCAGAAAAGAAAAAGGAATGTTAAAATGGAATTAATAGAATTTTTGTTGTTATTTTTAAACTTTAGAACTCCAAAGTTGGTCTTTAATCACATAAATTTCATGAGTCTGATGTCTCAGTTAACCAATGACATCTTGTCACTGTGTCTCCTCCTTTACCCCAATCCCTCAGTTTAACAAACTGAAGAAAAGTTCTAAATTATAAATAAGATTATGGCCACCAAGTGGGTTCTATTTAAAATAAACAACAAAAATTAAAGGGAATACAGGATAGTTTGGATTTTTTTCTAATCCTCAATTACAATTTCTCATTATTTTATATTTTAGATAATACTTTGCCAATGCACATTTTATGTAACTAACATTTTAGCTGGCAAATAGGTATTGGAAATAAGAGAATCTTTTTTTAACCACTTTTATAAGGTGTTATGTATCAATCAAAATTTTCTTTTAATAGTTTCTCAAAGTTAAAAGTTTAGTAGTTGAGATATATATCCACCAGGTATTTTTATTTTTGTGTGATATGTATAATCACTTTTGTTACTTTAATTACTGTAGGCATTCTGAACCTTGATTTTTAACTTTTGAATATATATTTTATCTGACAATCTCACAAAACACTATTTTGAATATATATTTATTATATAGTTTAAGCTTCATTTACTAGATATATAAATTAAGTGTAGTAAGTTGAAATTAACAATTTTAAATATTTGCTCTAGCTTAAATAAAGCAAATGTAAAGCTATGACATGATGTGCTTCTGACTAGTTTGTGTTTGATTTCTTTAGAATGACCTTTCTTTAGATGTTATAGTAAATAGTAGTATTGGTGGGAATGTAGTTTGGTGTAGCCGTTACGGAAAACAATATGGAGATTCCTCAAAAGACTAAAAGTAGACTTACCATATGATCTAGCAATCCCACTCCTGGGCATATATCCAGAGGGAACCGTAACTCAAAAAGATACATGCACCCCAGTGTTCATAGCAGCACTATTTACAATAGCCAAGACATGGAAACAACCTAAATGTCCATCGACAGAGGACTGGACAAAGAAGTTGTGGCATATTTACATAATGGAATACTACTCAGCCATAAAAATAATAAAATAATGCCATTTGCTGCAACATGAATGGACCTGGAGAATATCATTCTAAGTGAAGTAAGTCAGAAAGAGAAAGAAAAATACCATATGATATCACTTATATGTGGAATTTTAAAAAAAAGAAAAAGAAAAACTTACTTACAAAAAAGAAACAGACTCACAGACATAGAACACAAAATTATGGTTACCAAGGTGAGTAAGGAGGTGGGAAGGGATAAATTGGGAGTCTGAGATCTGCAGATATTAACTACTATATATAAAATAGATAAGCAAGTTTATACTGTATAGCACAAGGAACTATATTCAGTATCTTGCAGTAACTTATGGTTAAAAAGTATGAAAATGAATATATGTATGTTCATATATGATTGAAGTATTGTGCTGTACACCAGAAATTGACACTACATTGTAAACTGACTATATTTCAATAAAAATATTAAAAAATATAAATATTGAAATACTGGTATAACCAAATCATAGCTATTACATTTTCCAAAATTAGAGTTATTGTCAATACGTGCCTTAGTAAGGATGATCATATACAATCTAAACAGCTCTAATTGCTAAGCTTGTAACAAAAACACTCATGGTGTCTAGTCAGGTTTAACTGAATTGGAAAAAGAAGAAGACAAAGGTGATAACAGTATGGTTCTGATTTTGCTTAGTCTTACACTGCTCAGTGTCCAGTATTCTATAAATGTAAGAATTTTAGAACTTGTCCTTGTCTTTAAGGTGCTTTTTAGAATATTTGAGTTATCACTCCATAAATATTAGTGACTTAGCAAAACATTTCATGAGCTACAATTGGAATCTGAGGCTAAATTCCTTGCTAAGAAGATCTGGCCCTAAGAGAGATGTACAAATTCAGAACATCAGGTTTGCATTTCTAATCATCCTCCATACCCCATACAGCATGTATAATGAAAGATGATTGCACAGTAACTGGTAACACAGCTGGGAGGTGTTCTCTGAATAACATTTTTGTTCTCTTTTTATTTCAAAACAGCCTTTATTTCCATGACATCTTGCATAGCACAGATGGTCTCAAAAGTTAAATTTGACCATGAATACTACATTAGCTGTCATGTAACTAGGGAAGGATGATTATAAACAAGAAGAACTTCCTTTTAAAATGTTTCATTTATTTTACTGTTATATTATATGTGTATGTTTTTATTTGGTGAAGAAAGTATTTAGCTAATATGGTTTATTTCTGTTTTATAACTCAATATTGCATCATTTTATTTCTGACCATTCAAACAAGAATGCATCTTGAGAGTCATTAATATGCAGTAGGGTATTACAGTCATATCACTAGCAGAGAAAAGGAAAAGAAAAAGTTTTCCTTATTGTTTTCCAACTAGAGAGTCAGTGTAAGCAGATGTTCTGTTTTTGACTTGCCAAGAAAATTAGCACTTTTCTAGGACTTGAAAATCCTCCAGTCATTGAAAAAGACAGATCTTGGCGTGGCAGTGAGCTATGAAGAGGCAAACACTTTGAAATGGGGCTACCACCTAATACAATTTTTTTGCATTAAGTCCACAGTATTTATGCCAGCCAGCCATCTCTCTAGAATTGAGAGATAATGTTATGTTCTAACATCTACTCATTGACTTTATTTTCTGAGGGTGCGAAAAGAGAATAAAGGAATAAAATAAGGATCACAGTAGAAAAAAGAAAAAAAGAAACATAGTGGAAAAAATTTAGAAAATTTCAAAATAAATCAAGAAGACTCTAGAAACAATTTTATAGTATATCTAACAATCCAACGTCTTATTTTGCCTGCATGAGTAGGCTGTGGTTGTACAGGATCTCTGTCGCCATCTTTAATCTATTGCTCTTTCTACAGCCTGCTCTTTATGAACACTGTGGAGTAGGGTAATACAGGAGTAACAACCCCGAATCTGAAGCAAGACCCTGGGCCGCTGAGCTCTACAACTTCCTATCTGAATGTCCTTTGGCAAGTTATTTAGCCTCTGTCAGTCACAGCTTTGGATCTTTTAAACTGGATGAATAACAGTATCTTCACTATAGAAGTATGCAAGGATCAGGAGAGCAGGTACGTGCAAAGAATATAGAACTATCTACAAGCACTTAAACATTGTTAACCACTATTTTCATTCATTACTCAGAGATAAATAAAGATGGCCACTGTTGCCATTTCTGTATTTGTCTTGTGTAACTGCATTCAGTGTTACACAAATAGCACTTACTAAACCCTTCAGAAAAAAAAAATATACATATTACTCTTTCAGGTAACAGCTCCACATAGTGCACTATCCTGTCAAATTCCCATGAAACCATCTATCTAGCTTTGGTTCACGTTGAATTTGTTAATATTTAAAATGTGTTACTTTTATGGAAGAGCTGTGCCATGGCAGTTACTTTTATATTTTAAATTAGTTCTTAAATCCTGATTATGTATTGACTCACTGAATCAAAATCTCTATTAAAATATCCACAACATTCCAGAAATTATGCTGTGCTCTGTGGATACAAACATGCCTAAGTGGCCCTGACTTGATGGGACTCATTATCCAGCAGAGGAGAGAGAAGATCATAAAGCTAAATATAACACACTTTGATAAGTACTCTTCTTGTGTTATGACCAAAGTAATATCAGAGGATAGAAGGGAACGCTTAAATCGACAGCCGAGGAGAGGGGGAGCAGTACAATGTGGATAAGACAGTATAGAGGCAAGGGCTAAGGGAAAACCACAAGTGAATACAATACAAGGGATGTGCAGTGGTACGAAATGAGCAGCAAAAAAAGTTAGAGTCAGATAGTGAAGTGTCTGAGATGCTGTAATAAGGAGTTTCACCATTATTTCCAGGTGAAGGAGAATTTCAAAAGATTGCCAAACAAATAAATTAATAGATTATATGGTTAAAATTAATACTCCTTGAATTTACATGTTTCTTAATGATTATACTATTAATAATGCTGTAAGTTAAAGTAATACCTACATCTAATTTTTTAACAGAACTACTAGTTAAATTGTGGTTTTTTTATATGATTAAAACCTAGCGTAAAATGCATTAAACATTCACTGCAAAATGCAACACATACACACATATAATGAATAACATAGCTTGTTTAGGTCTTGGGAAGTTGCTGAACTATGGATGCCCTAAGAATTTAGCAAAGAAGAGGAGTAAAGGCTGAGAATTTATCTGTCTCCTGGAAATTACTTGTTTTTTCATGAACACAAATATTACTTGTGTTCATGAAAAAAGCACAGTGAAATATAGCTAAGACAAAATCATATTCTGCTCCAAAGTGGTATTTCAAAGTCATAAATCATGTAATATAGTTCAGATATGTAGCTTTGACCTTGTGTAATGTCAAGATCCAGGTTAAGATTACCTCCGAGATGGAGTCATGCGCCAGGAGTTTCTGGAGTGTCCACATTTCCTTTTGCATCAGAAAGTGAAGCTGCAGAAGAGGTATACTGGGATTCCATATGCTATTTTTTGCAACATTTCTGTAAGTTTATAGTTATTTTGAACTAACAAGCTTAAAACTTTAACCAAAAAATGGAAACATTCATTCAGACATTATTTCCATTTTTATATTTAACTCCAAAATAGACAATCATTTTTTGAAAACTTTTCATCAGAGTTATCTTTCAAACAAGTAGGAACCAGTAACTAAAAAAAAAAAAAAAAACTTGCCAGCAATAATAAACATTTTCTTTCATTGATTTACATGTTCATTAAATAATGTAATACTGTCTACTTTGTAAAGCTACTGTTACTAATTTTATTGAATTCAGTGTTACTAATTATATGAAAATTAGATAATAAAAGAGTCAAAGTAATTCCAGTAATGTAGAACAAAAGCTAGCTAAAACAAACTTAGATATAAAATATTTATATCTATACACACACATATATTAAAGTTTGCACATGAAGAGTTCATACTACAATTTAAATATTTATAATTTCCAATAGGAAATACAGATGTAACATTAAAATGTTCATAATATGATGCAAATATATTATAATACATGACAACTTAATAATAATGAAATATTTGAGAGAATGTGACACTAAGTTCAGCATTTACAAAAATACTTAATTGCTAATCAAAATAAAAAACTTATAATTCCTCCCTGTAGATATCAAAGCATATTTAAAAGTAGTCTCAAAAATAATATAGAACATAAAGATCACAAAAGAGTTTGGTTCCCCATCTGATATGGTTGCTCAATTGAAATGATTGGCCAGAAGCAATTCCTGAATCTTGACTGAGATTTTATCATTCTCTTCAGCTAATCATTTGGCTCATAAAATGACAATTGTTGAGGAGACCTTTTGAAGTTGGCCAGTCCACACTTATTTATATCCTGACATCCACCAGAGTCAGTTGTACATAACCAACTTGAATAGAGAATAATTAAATCACTGGGGATATTTCAACTATAGGATATCTTGGGAAATTCACATATTTAATAATGGAGAAAAAATTGCTAGATTTCTTTATGGTGAACACTTGTAATTAATACAATTGGGCATTTAAATTGATATTTTAATAGATTAGGCACTAACTTGTGATTAGCTTCAGTGAAGACTGCAGAATCAAGAAAATAACTTGGATGACTTTTAGAAAGTTAATTCTAGTTTTTCCTTGCTCTCTATTAGAGACAAATATTGAAAATGCACTGTATTCCAAAAGTTAATTAGCATTAAGAAATATAACCTATATAGCCATATACTTGATATTTTATTCTTTTCAGTTTCTAATCATGTATTGTTTCAAATCACATTTAGATAATACTTTTCCTGGTTCTTGAATAGCAAATTGATTATTTTTAATCACTGATAATATATTTTCAGTTATTATTACATCTTCTGTTTCATACATTCAGAGAAGAACAGCAATCATTAAGGCTTAGTTTGATTTCGTTTTCTGTTTTAAGTGTCAGGTATAAAAAAATACTTTACAGCACAGCTATAAACCGTGTCAATATGATTAAAGGAGCAGTTGTTTTTGCTATAAATAGTATTCTCTAGCAACTCAGGAGTTCTGCAGATGACATTTACCCTACTAAAGCAATAAAAATAATCATGTGGTGGAAAATTTACATCTCATAAGAAAAAAAACTGATAAATTCTAAATAAGTTAGTGTTGAAACTTTCTATCTTCTTTTTTTCCATTAAAAATATATTTGATATAACAGAGGTTGCTGTCTAAGATTAGTATTCAAAAAATGCCTCTGTGCTTACTTAGCTGCCTCAGCACTTTAGTACTAAAGTTAAAAATAAGAAGTAATAAAAACCAAATGAGATTGTTCAGTAGGTGCAGCTGGTCACTATTACAGAATCACAGTATGAGCAATATTGTTCACAAAGTATTCCTATCTCTGAACATTTTCTTACAAGCATTCCCACTACTCAATATCTAATAATATGCTGATTCTGTAAATTAGGCAGGTTTAGTATTATAGATATGAGTGTTAGCAATGTTTTGTATCATTGAAAAGGTCCTAAATAGATTGAAACCTAGTTTATCCAGAAAGAAAAGAAGAGAACAAGAAGAAAAAAAGCAGGTCATAGGGCTTTAGAATCTTTGATTACTTATTGATGGTAAGTTTTATTTCCAGAATGAAGAAAATTGCATCTACAGTGCTGATTCCAGCTACACTAAGGAAAGAATTGCATTTAATTGGAAGTCATTTCCTCTGAAATTATTTCCAACCCTAGGTCAACAATTTCATATAATTTACTTACTGGAGGGTATATTTTAGTTGCCTGATTAGACTACATTACCTGGATACACCTTGGAAGTCACTGAACGCTTAACCCTCTGGTGTTTAAGTTATTTTGCAGAATAATGGACAATAAATAAATGTAGCTATGCTTATGCTAAAAGTTAAAACTAGAAAACTGAGCACACTTTTCTGCATAGGTATTCAGAATAAAAGCAATCTAAGTCAGGATTTCATCAAAATTTTTGTATAGCATTTCTGTTTAAAAATGACAGTATGGGATACATACTTGGCAGGGGAGGTACCGTGATCCTGAAGGTGGTTTTCCCAGGGCGAGGCTTATCCACAGCACTCTGGATGTGCTGACGCCTGTGATTTCCCCAAATGTGGGAAACTCAACTGCTTAATTTGTGGTAGTAGGGGGCTGTGTTAATTCACATTTTCCTCTGGGGGAAAAAAAAAAAGGACAGTAGGGGGAAGATGCATGAGACATTGCATAATAATGAATCAGCCTTTTGGAGCACTAATGCACATTTGGAGATAGATAAGTAGATAGAACACCATTAACAAGCCAGTGGAAGGATTTCACTTCCACAAAGATGCAAGAAACATATTTTTGAATACTTCTCATATTGAGTACCCCTAAGACCCCTAGACATTATATAAAAACCAATCTAAGACTTTGAAAAGGTAAGATAAGAAGGCAGAATGGCTAAGGGCCTTGCAACTGAACTGGTGAGTTCCTTACGTATTGTTTTTGCCAAGATTCCCGGACTTGGTGCTGAAAGAGCTGCCAACCCAGAGATGCAAATGGCAGCACCAAAAAACAAACAAGCACAACAACAAAAAAACGAAACAACAACAAAAAAATCCCTCTTCAGAATACCTGCTATCCTTAGCCAAAGGACCAGGAAAGGGACAGCTTAAGAAGACAAAAATCTTTTAGACAATAACTGCTAGATTGCAGACAAACAGCACCAGAAATACTCCCCCCCCCCATCCAAACCACCAAAGGCTGAGTAAAGAGGCAAGATTTCCATCCCTCACAGAGCTATAATGCAGCTCTTCAATCCACCCCTCACACATGCCCGGGTGGTATCCCAGAGACATACAAACTAAAAAGAAAATATGGAAAGCAGTGAGACAGAAACAAAGCCTCACCTCGTAGGGAAAAACAACTCAAATGAAAGTAGATTTCTCATTAGAAACCGTGGAGACTAGAAGGAAGTGGTACCTCATTTTTCAAGCCCTTAAAGAAAAGAACTGGTAACACAGAATCCTTTATCAAGTTAAAATGTCCTTCAGGAATGAAAAGGAAATCAAGATATTTCAGATAAAGAAAAACTCTGAGAATCTGTTGCCAGTAAACTCACCCTTAAAGAATGGGTAAGAAGGAAACTTGAAACATCCGGAAGGAATAAAGAACGATAGGGAAAAGTAAGTACAGGTGAAGAGAGTAGATTTTCCTTCCTTTGAGTTTTCAAAATTTTGCCTGCTGGTTGAAGCAAGAATTATAGCAATGCCTGACTGATGTAGTTCTAAATGTATATAGGATAAACACTTGAAGCAATTATAAACAGGGAAGAGTAAAGGAATGATAAGAGAAGTAAGGTTTCTATACTTTATTCAAGCTCTAAAATGATAGCAACAATACATTCTAATTAACATGATGTAATAAATATGTGTGTATACATAACATGTATTTTGTCTGATATAATGTAATACTTAAATATGGTGTATATATATACATTGTATCTGAACTAATGTAATACTTAAAGCAACCACTAGAAAAGCTATGAAAAGAGACAGACTAAAAAAATAACCCACTAAAAATAAATCAAAATGGAATTCTACTAAGAGTTAAAGAAACTCACAAGAAGGCAGAGGGGAAAAACAGAGGAACCAAAAAATCCACAAACCTCCCCCCTACCCCGCAAAATTTAAGTGGCATACTTACATTCTAATATGCAATAATTATATTAAGTGCAATTAGTCTAAATTTGCCAATTGAGAAAGAGATTAGCAGAATGGATGTAAAACATGACCCAACTGCATACTGTTTAAAAGAAACTCACTTCAATTATAACAAAGTAGGCAGGTGAGAGTAAAAGGATAGAAATAGATATCTCAAGCAAACATTAATAAAAAGAAAGTGGGAATACTTGGACTGCTATCTCTTTAGAGCAAAGAAAATTACTCCATACAGAGAGGGACTTCTATGTAATGATAAACGTGTCAATCCATCAAAAACACATTATTGTCCTAAATGTGTCTGCACCAAACAACTGAGCTGTAAAATATGACAAGAAAACTGATAGGACTAGAAAGATAAATAGAAAAGTACATAATTAAAGCATATCAACACCTTGATTTTGGAATGGGAATTTCTGCAACTTCTACTGTGCCATCCTGTGATGGTATTTTAAAACAGATAATGTGTCTTCTAGTTTTGAAAATTTTGCCTGAGGATGGACTGTAACCATAGTCTCATCCATATCTGATTTGAATTATTTAGATGATCAGAAAGAAGGAGATTGATACACACAGGCATAAGAAAACATAAATGTGGATCTGAGAAAGGTTTGAAAATACCAGTTTTGAAAATTGAAGTGATGCACCCAGAAGCCAAGGAATCCCTCCACCCACCAGGAGCTGAAGGAGGGAGGCAAGTAACAGATTGCACCCCACAGCCCTCAGGAGGAGTGTGACTCTGCCAAGCCTTGGTTTCAGTCCAGCAGGACTGATTTCAGACTTCTGCTCTCCCAAAATGTGAGAGAATACATTTTTGTTGCTCAAAGCCACTGAATCCATGGTAATTTGTTACAGCACCAGTAAGAGACTGATACAGATACCATCAACCAACAGAACCTAATCAACATTTATAGAACATCTCATCCAACAACAGAATAAAAATTCCTTGCAAGTGCCCAGGGACATGCACGAAGATAGATCATATCCTGAAACAAATCTCAATAAATATTAAAGAATTTAAATCATACAGGATATGGTCATCACCCACAATGGTACTGAAGTAGAAATCAGTAACACAAAAATAATGGGAAAGCCTCCAAACACTTGGAAACTAAACAACACATTTCCAAATCATCCATGGGTTAAAGACAAAGACATATGGAAAAGAAAAAAAATTCACTGAAATAAATGCAAAAGAAAAGATTATCAAAGTTTCTCAGTCACAACACAAAAGGTGTTGAGAAAGTTACGGCACTAAATGCACACCACCAGTAAAGAGGAAACGTCATAAATCAATAATCTAGGCTCCTACCTCAAGAACCTAGGAAATGAAGAGCAAAAGAAACTTAAAGCACGCAAAAGGAAGGAAACAAGTAGAGAAACAAATGAAATTTAAAACAGAAAAAAAAGTTGGAAAAAAACCAATAAAATGAAGAGTTGTTTCTTTGAAAAGATAAATGTAATCGACAGACCTTCAGCAACTGACCAAAGAAGGGAGAAGACAGAAATGATCAATCTCATGAATGAAACGGGGCAATATAACAGAAACTGTAGACATGGAAATTATATTAAAGCAATAATATGAACAACTCTACACATATAAACTTGACAACTTAGATGAAATGGACCTAATCTCAAAAAGTAAAAACACAGATCACCCAAAATGTTTAGATAACTCAAATAACCCTGTACTTACTATGGAAAATAAATTTGTAATCAATAAAAACAACAGTGAAAAAATCTCCAGGCCTAGATGTCTTCATCAAGGAATTCTGTCAAACCATGAAGGAATTAAGACCAATAGTACACGATCTCCTCTACAAAATACAGGAGGAGGGGACATTTCAAAGATCATTAATGAAGCTAGTATTATCCTGGTACTATCTTTGTATCAGGATACCAGGTATGAGTGAAGAAAATCACAGAATAATATAAATGTAAAAATCCTTATAAAATATTAGCCAATTGAATTCAAGTATAGATGTATATGTGTGTGTATTTTATATGTATTTATATGTATAAAGAATTTTATACCATAAAATAGTGGAGTTTATTTCGGGAGTGCAAGAGTCTATATTAGAAATATCAATCTATGTATGTTAACTATATTAACATGTTATAGAAGAAAATTAAATGGCCATATCAATTGATGAAAGTATTTGACAAAATCCAATACTGATCCGGGTATAAAATTCTCAGAAATAAAGGAATAGAAGGAAACTACTTCTACTGATAAACAGCATTTACAAAAAAATAAGTAAAAACTACTATAATTAACGTGCTTAACAGAAACAAATGGAATGCCTTTCCCTAAGATTGGGAACAAAGCAAGCTGTCTGCTCTCATCACTCTTAAAGTGCTGGAAGTTCTAGGCAGTGCAACAGGCAAGAAAAGAAGTAAGTGGCATACAGACTGAAAGAAGAAATCAAAGTCCATTTATAGATGGCATAATTATCTACATAGAAAATCAAAATGCATTTACCAAAAACTCCTGAAATTAATAAAAGAGCCCTGTATGTTCACTGCATACAGGATAAGCATTCAAAACTCAGTTGCATTCTTGTATACTAGCAATCAACACAGATTATGAAATTAACAATATAATACCATTTATAATTGCTCAAAAGTGAGAAAAATTAGGTGGAAATTTAGCAAAACATGTATACGACTTGGATGTTGAAAACTACAAAATGGTGATTCGAAAACCAAAGATCTAAATAAATGGAGAGACATACTGTGAAGTATGTCTCTCATAGTAAAGATGTCAGTTCTTCCCCAAACTGATACATATGATTAGTGCAATTCCTATGAAATTCTCAGCGAGAAATTTTGGCAGTATGGACAAGATTATGCCAAATACATATGGAAAGCCAGGAGAACCAGTATAGTTAAAATAATACTTGAAAAGCAAATAGAGTGAGAGGAATCAGTCCACTCAATTTTAAGGCTTATCATATAGCTACAGTTATCAAATATGTGTGGGTTTTCAGAGGGATGGAGACAGACCTTGTGAGAATAGACAGTCCAGAAATAGACCCACATAAATATGCTCAAATAACTTGAACAAAAATACAGAACTCAATGAAGGCAAGATAATCTTTTCAGTAAATTATTCTAGAGCAAGGTTATATCCATACATAGACAAAATAAAGGGGGAAAACCATGACCTATGTCTCACTTCTTTTAAAAATAATAACTCAAAATAAATCATGGACAAAAATGTAAAATGTAAAACTACAAAATTTCCACGCAAAAAAAATTAGAAACTCAAGAATTTAGGGCTGCTCAAAATGTTCTTTTACATGACATTATTCATAAAAGCAAAAAATGAAAACTGGACTTCATCAAAATTATGAACTTTTACTCTGTGAAAAGACCTTGTTAAAAGATAACACAAACTACAGAGTAGGAAAAAATATTCTCAAACCACATATCCTATACAGATGTGTGTATGTGTGTGTGTGTGTGTGTGTAAATCTTAAAAAACACAAGAGTTAAAAAAAAACCTATCAATTATAAAATAGGAAGACATTTCACTAAAGAGGATATACAGATATTAAATAAGCACCAAAAAGGTGTTCAATATCATTAACCATTAAGGAAATACAATTTAAAACTGCGATAATGTATTACCACTCACTAATCAGAATGGCTAAAATAAGTACTGACAACACCAGATGCTGGCAAGGATACACAGAAACTGGATCACTCATATGTTGCTGGTGGGAATGTAAAATATTACAGCCACTCTGAAAAACAATTGCACAGTTTCTCAAAAAACTAAACATGGAGCCACTATAAGACCCAGGAGTTGCACCCCTAGGCATTTATCCCAGAGAAATGAAAACTTACATTCATACACACCAATATGTAAACGAGTGTATGTAGTTGCTTTA